GGATTCTTGGGTACCATCAAAAAAAGATGTAAGCAGAAATAAAACATTTTGGTTTTGTCTGATCTTTGGGGAAGGCCAGACAGGAAGGAGTATTAAAGATGTAGAATGAATATGCACTCTTCAAACAGCTGTGATAAACAGCCCCTTCAATGGTTACTGGCCTGACTCCTTTTATGAGCACTCCCTCACCAGTCAGTACCAGCTGCGCTGGGTATCCAGGGATGCCAACTCAGGTAATTGGTTTGAACGAGCTAGGAAGTGCTGTTATGAACAGCTCTAGCTAGGAAGTGCTGTTATGAACAGCTCTATGGTGACTTGAAAGGGTGGTAATACTTAGCAGAGAGAATTAACAACTGGGAGTAATGTTGGTTGTGGGGATTTTTTTTTCTTTTTTTTTTTTTTTTTTGCAATGTACCTGGGTCCAGGGAGAACAACTGCTCACAGCCTCTTAAAAACCCTCACCAGACTAAATTCTCACAGCTAAAGGGGAAATAATCTGATCTGGGAACTTGGTTAAGTCTAAGGAATGACAGTTTCAGGAAGTTTCATGTTATCAGGATTTGGTCATGTGAATACCTCCCAGCAGAAGATTAAGTATTTAGAGCTGCTAACATGCTTGCGAGGGTAGGTATGTGATAATCAGAAATTGTGAATGATCTATTGGCATATTACTTCTAGACATAGGTCAGAATTCAAGAAGTGGCATATTTTAAAAAACAACAACTCAATAAACAGACCAATGGTCCTTAGCTCTTCCTTGTTTATTGGTAATGCTGCAGCAGGCACCATTTCTCAGTGCTGGAGGCTGAGACACCTTCAGCCATAAAATATACCAGACCTTGGACTAGTTGAATTGCAGCATGTCTTTAAAATTAATTAAGCTTGTAGTAAGCAGAAGGATGTAATCTCAAAGTATGACTATTATCCTAATTTAATAAAGAAAAATACCTAAAATCTCTTTATGAGCATATCCCAGTTTCATTATATCTGGTTATTTAGAATATCTAGGTTCCTGAGAGACTCCTGTAATGAAAGGATATAAATTAGGTGGGTCAGTCAGAACGTAACTGGTTTTGGTTTGTTTACTATGTACTATACCATTTAAAATTAGTGCAAAACCCAAATGTATTTAACTCACCAAAAGGAAAGTCTTCTCAATAAACTGTCTGGATTATTTTCAGCTGAAAAGAGCCAGTTAATGATAAAAATGAGTATTTCCCAGTGTTCAAAAGTGACTAAATTTCAGCCATACTCTGGAATTAAAATGGTGGATGTGATCAGAAGAGCACTTGACATTTAAAACCTTAACTGTGGAATTCTAAGGTCAAGCGTCACTTTATGTATGAACTTGAGGGTTTTGGTTTTCTTTTTTTTTTTTTTTTAAATAGGGGATTAAAATTTGGTTATTAGGCCTTTTTACATAGTGTTACTTCAGGCTGACTTAGTTCATCAGCACAAGTCCTTCTGTGGGTGTTCTGTGTACTCAGCACTTTCCAGCAGCTCAAAAGGATTAGGAGTATTTGCAAGCAATATTTAAAAAAAACTAAACAAAACCCTTAACCAAAAGGGAAGTATCTACAGTGTGGCTTGTACTAGGTTTAATGAGGTTAGTTAAACTGGTATCATTGGCTTTAGTCTTTACTTAAATATATACAATTTCTTAGATTAGGTGGATTGTTGCAATTAATTCCAGTGTTGAAATGAGAAGACTAGGACACTTTAACACAGTTCTAAAAACCAATATCCACAAACATTAGGTCAGATTTCCACATAATAGAAAAATGCTGTCTCCCACTCATATTTTTTAAATCTAGTTTGTGGTGCTGACAAGTTTTGCTAAATCAAATTTAAATTTTTCAAGCACCATAAAGTAAGTCCAGAAATAAAGCTGTTTACTGCAATATATAAAAAACCATTTACACACAGGATGATATTGCTTGCAGCCAAGTGCCTTCTGAATGTATAACCAAGAAGTAGTGTTCCAGGACACAGAAACACATCACACACGAAAAGTTAAATGTTAACTTTGTCTTATAAGAGATACCATCTAGTACCTGTTGCTACTTGTTTCATATTAGTGAATGTCAAGGATATTGCAAGAGACTGGAGAAGATTACAGTAGCTGAACAGAAAATGGGAAAACCAGTCTTACTAATGAACATTTTATTCTGGAAAGTATCTGCTGCTGGCTTCCACAGGGAGGGAAGGGCCTGCATGTTGAAGCAACTGAGCACAACTACTGCCATGAGGTTAGTGGGAGCTGTGTGGCTGCTTAATATTCTCAGTCCCCTTGTTACTCAGAATTGCTCAGAGCTCAATTCAGATGCAACAGCTGCATTTTGTGAGGTCCTGCATTTACCTGTTCTGTTTTGTGGGTGGTTTTTTTTTTATGTCAGCTAAGATCAACAGGAATGATTGAGAGGCTTGCCTGAGATCATACACAAGTGACTGCAGCTGGGTAAGGCCCAAAATTCTCCTAGTTCCCAGACTTCAGTGTAACCACAAGACCGCAGTGCTTTAGTTGAACTTCATCCTCAACTGGAACTTGGCACAAAGAATCCCAAAGAAAGAATTTCCTTTTGAAGTATCTTCTAAATGTTCTAACTTGTTTTGTCCTTTGTATTCCACTAGTTCAGGAAAAATAACTTTTAAAGCCTTGGTTCAACTGTCTAAGTAAATGCTATGTGCTCCTAGAGTTTTTTTAATTTTCTTTTTCAAAGTTGATAGCTTGAAGTTTGCCAGAATGCAAGTGGCTGTGCAGTCTGCTGCTTTGAAGTACATGAACATCAATGGAAGGAAGATACCGCAAAAAAATCTTCCTCCTGTAAAGCAGAAAGCACACTGACTGCTAATAAAATACATTCCATTTCTGGGCAGGAAGCCTTTCTTTGCCAGGTTCTTATAGTTCAAAGTGCTCCTCTTCAGTAATTGTTTAGACACAAAATCATGAGTGGGAAATGTGAAGAAGTGTAAAGGTAAATGTGCTCCTAATGTCTGGGGGAGTGAGGGGGGATAAAAACTTAAGAAAATGTATCAGGGGTATCTTTGATCTGCCTTCTCCAATGAAAGCTGACTGACAGGACAGTTTTGGAAAAAACAATGGGTTTTTAAGAATAAAAGCAATTATCTGTTTAAATGTCATTCATGAAGCTGACAATTCCATAGCAATGTGCCTGGAGTCTCTGTTACCTTCTCCTCTTATTTCAAAAGTGAGCCACCTCAGCCAAGTGCATGGACTCTCTCAGCGAGAACATTGTTTTGTATTTGTAAAGCTTTTCTTCCTATAGAGGTAGTGTTACAGATTTGGTTGAAGTGAGGTGGTGTAAATCCCTCAGTCTGCTGTTGCCTGTGAGGCATGAGCACAGGACAGTCTTAACAGTCTTGCCCAGAGGGTGAATAACATGATAGGCATATAAGAATTCTTTTAATTTGTGCATTTGCAACTCATTTGTGTAAGCTTAGATAGCTCTACTTGCTGAGTCAAGAGCTATACCTATAAATAATGGTGCTGCTCTAACTGTACCTCAAATGCAGGAGTTTGAACTATCTGTGAAAGACTTCTAGCTGGATGCTTTAATTGTTAATGCAAACATGCTGTGTGCTTGTATGCTCCTTGCAGTTTTACCTGTCCTGTATGTAGCTAGTAGTGCGCTAACTCCTGTACAACAGCCAGGTAGCTTTTTAGCTGGAGCCCCAGTTTATCTATCTCACTAGCTCAGGCTTGGTGCTTTTGGATCTCGCTGGTGTGAGTGCAGGTTTGTCTGTAAAATATGATGTGGACATAGCCCACACACACTGTGCCAGAGTGACAGCAGTCCAGGGATACAGTTTGCTGCTGTTGCTCAAGCAAATAACAGAATCACAAGCTGCCTAATCTCACCACTACATAACAGAGGCAATGTCCTTGAGCTCTGACAGCTAATACACCAGTACTTAGACCCAGGTCAACTATTTACATACAGTAGAAAAACTAAAAAGAAGTAACCCTATTTTAAACTGGATTTACCTAATTAAAAATAGCTAACTTCGAGACTAGTTAAAATACTGTATGTTATGATACCATGGGAAGAGTACATCTACAGTGTATTTTGCTCTGTTATTCAAAGTGTTTTTGTAAAGGTCTTTGTGATTGGATGTGATGTTGCCTATAGAACACGGAGGCTCCTGTTGCAAGTCTAACTAAACAGTTCAAATGGGATTCATATTGTGTAACTTTAGCCACAAATTATTTTAAGAAGTGGTTTGATGCTACTGTTTTTCAAAGGTGCATCACAGTGAGTGCAACAGAAGTTCATTTTAAGAAAGTTAGTCTGATATCGTAGTCCAAGCTGTCTAGAATGCAAAACATGAAATGATGTACTGTTGAAATTTAATTTTCTTCCTAAGAACCTCAACCTATGACTTCAAAAGTTATGTGACCTGCCCACCCTGAATTTGAAAATACTGCCTTGAAAACATGCTGCCTGAGATCCTTAACATAGAGGCCTTTTAAAAAAAACAACCCATATGCTATAAAATCAAAGGGATTATAAAGTTAGAACAGTAAAGGAGAAGCTATATTGGATAACTATAGTCTAGAAATACGGTCTTTTAACTTTTTTCCTTGAAAAAAGCTGGTGCAGAGAACACCGCTGTTTTATCCTGACTGTTTAATAATGGCTAAGAATAATCAGTTATTTATAATAAATTAGGTCTGCAGTATAAATGAACATATGAACCTTTCAAAAAAGACATACTAACGTTTCTTTTAGAGTATCTACAATGGATTTAAACTATTTTGATTCAATTAATCACTTGCAATTTATATTACTTTGAGAATCTTCTATACAGCAAATTGAACATAAAAAAGCAAACATTCTAGCAGCCCCTTTTCCCTAGAACAATTTTCAATTTAAATAGCTAGTTTAGCGCGTTTGTGCACGCTCTCCCCCTTTTTCTAAAGGTAGCACAGCCAAAAGACAATGCAAGAATATGGCATTTGTTGACTGACTCTGTTTTCTCCATCTGGTAAAGATAAGGGGAAGACAGACTTGAGACAGAATGTCCCAAAATGGAAAATGTGCACTTGATGTTTAGTTTGCCCAATATCCAGGGACTTTGTTCTTTTCCTTGGTTATAGTTTATAAAAAACCACTTTGCTGTGTCTCTGCATGTCACTCTGTGTTCAGTTACAAACAGTTTTCAGTTTCAGCTGTGGATGAATTTGTTTTGAAGCTTCCATTTTGCTTCACTGAACACAGTGCAAACCAAGGGAAGAAACTTAAGTAAAATCCAAAGAGGAGCTCCCATTAAGAATATTCGAGCAGCACTTTGTATATTCTGTTTTCCACTGTCCTTATTCTGGGGAGGAAGAATCCTCATCTTCATCTTCATCATTGAATGAGCATGGAGTTTCTCCCCGTGATTCAGAGTAGCGTGATGTTGCAGCGCTGGACTGTTGACTGCTAGGGTCAAGAAACTGCCCAGTTGCTAAGGCCACTTCAGCATCCAAACACAACCCTGGATTCTCACTATCAAAACAACAGAAATGTTGAAGTTTAGAGGATTTCTCATGAAGTTTTAAGCTTTCTTTTGGGACTCAGCTTTTCCTTTAGTTAAAGAAATGCTACCAACAAGTTAAAATCCAAAAGGTTTATATTAAACATAGCTAATCGATATGAAAACTGCTAAAATATTGGGAAGTTGCATAAAAAAGATCATTGGGTGGCTTTTTCTTTCATAACCAACTACTAGAATTATTCAAGCTGAAGAAAGCTTAAAAAATAAGAAATTTATCACAGTTTTGTCAATACACAGAAATGTTTGCAATGTGAAATTAACCTGTTAAATGCCATGAGGAAGAACCTGCTCCATAATCATCCCTCCTTCCATTTTTTTAAGGTACAGGTAACCTCCAAGCAAAGTATAGTTGTTGAGGTTTTTTTTTGGATGGGGTTTTTGCTGTTGTTGGTTTTTTGTTTGGTTGTTGGTTTTTAATTTAAAATTGTGATTAGACTTTGTGGACTAAACTTCTTTCATGAGAGCTTAAGCAGCAGTGCACTTAGACACAAAGGTTCTTTTGTATTCTTCAGAAGTATTATCAGGCTTTTTCCACATGTAATTATCTACTTGTAGTCCATGCCCAGGCAAGAATTTAAGGTTAGTCAGGAAAACTCTGTCCTTACAGTAAGGGCCTGAAAGTGATTGTTCTTTTGAAACAGATACAAAATAGCTAGTATGTTCAAAATTCAAAGCATGTTGATTTGACCTTTCAAACAGAATTATCAAGGAAGACAGAGTAAGAGACTTTCACAATCAAAAACCAACCATAATAGAAAGCATCTAATTTCCTTCATGTAAATGGTATGAAATAGTGAGGTTACTGAAAGTATCACAAGCATGTATCTCTATCCTTGAATAAATAAAATATTTTGTTTACCTTGATTTAGCATCAGAAGTGCCTCCTGCTACCTCTAAATGTGAAACTGCTTGTGCTGAACTTGAAAGTAACCCTTGGTTTACCCATGAAAATCCTGCAGACATATCTAGAAGAAAGCATAATTGTATTTATGATAGTTACTTAATTTTTTTCCTCCTTTTATAATCTATTATTTTCTATGCTTACCAAACATCTGTTCTGTACAGCACGATAACAGTAAAATGGGATTGTACTATTTATATTTAATCTAGAATTGTTCTATAGGAGCAGGTAAGAGGAATAACTAAATGTGTTTGTTACATATGCTTTCTCATGTGTCCTTCTGTGTTCTTGTTAAGCTTTGGCTCCTTGAGATGTGACAGTGTACTGCCTAGCACAGGGACTGTTTTAAGCAGGTTGTCACAACTACATAAATTGTCTCACCATCCACTGGGATTCACAAGCTACCTTGTTTTATGCTGTAGAGACTTGTTAGCAGTGAGGTGTTTAAATAACGTTATAAAGTAAGGCCAGCAAGGTTGATGTTCCTGCCAACAGTGTATTTGGAACATGACAGAAAACATTCAAAGTGGCAGCTTTAGGGTGATCTGTGAGTACACAACAGATGAGAATAGTTGAATGTGGACATAGCTGGATGGCTTTCATTAAGATTGCCCTAAATGCAGGTTCATTTTTTTTTATGGAGAACGTGTTCTGACAGTCTCATCCTGTCTTTGCAGGAGGAGGCTGAACCATTTGGAATGACTGCATTGTATTTAGATTAATAAAGGGGATTAGAGATGTATCACAGTGTTGTTTCCTGGTCTTTTGAAGGGGTGTACCTGTGCTTACATGCTTACTATTCCAGAAGAATAACAAGTCACTGCTAGTAATCTTGTGTTTTAGTAACATTTTGGGATAATAGCTAGTTAGCTTTTCTTTTTGAAGAGCAAGGTGAAGGAAAGATGGATTTTACATAGAAGGCAGAAAGAAGGTTCACAAGATGCATATCACTGCCTTGTACTTTCATTGCCTTATATTTCTAAAGTCTGTTTTCCAGTGGGCCCTGAGGAGCCAGGGAAAAGAGGAACTTAGTGAAAGCTGTGGAGTTTAAGAAGCCATTTTCTGTCTGGAAAGGGCTGGTAAAATACAAGTATGCCTACAATGAGAAGACTTACTACTAGCAGAGTAGATAAATTACTAATAGCTACAGTTATGAACCAGGGAAAGCAGCTTGGAAGAAGCTTCCCAAGCTGGTACAGTCTAGGAATGGCATCTTTATTATGAACTAGGCATATCTTGCAGGAGATAGATTTGGTAGAAATTTGTACTTTACACGAGAAGGTTCTACAGGAATACCCTCAACAGCCTTTTGTAGTTAATGCAAAGTGAAAGTACTGCATATCATTATTGTTGATAGCTGAACAAACTCATTCGTTCAGTGGGTACTCTTGTCTCTTGAGTTCCAACTCCAGCACATTGTCCACTCAAGGCTTGTTCTGCAGGTAGATAGATCCCAGAACACTTCATGCAGAGAAAGTGGTGTCATCTAGAGGTCCTAAACTGCACCACTTTCTTTGCCTGCTGCCTTAGTGGGATGTGTACAAGTGAGATGGTGTTACTACAAGTATTAGTACCTCAGGATTTTTATTGCCTGCTTTTTTTATCTGTAATCTCCTTTCTAGGAGTGAGGACTCAACTGACAAAGGCAGGACTTGGTTTTGCATTAACTGCCTGTAGTCTATGCCTGGCTTAAAATGCAGAGGACGTTACTTTGGATATGGTTCTCCAAGAGTTTCTGCTTGTCTCAACCAGTGGCATATTTCTGTTTATCCAGCAATCTTATTTCCTCCTTTACACTTGAACTGTTCTGGTTTGAGCCCCAAGCTAGACAGTTCTACATGCTAAATTGTCAGAAACTCCTCTGCCTGATAAAAAGCCTGCAGTTTGGTATCCTGAACCTGCTCGTGAAGAGGGCAGAGGAAAGTGTGTCAAAATGAAGAAATGGGCAGCAATGTGTAATTAGGATTGTGACCCTGGGATGCCATCTTAAGCAGGTGCAAGTGTTGTGTTAGAAATAACATTGCTCCTTCCATAGTAAGAAGCTGGAAAGTATGCTGGTCAGAGTGCAGTCTGTTGTATGTCCATCTCTTTTTCTGGATTACGATTTAGCTAAGCGCAACACTTCAATGTAAATTTTTACTGTAAGTTATGGTTAAGCTGCTGTATCCTCTACTCTTGCTCTCTTTTGAGAAACAAGAAAAATTAAGGTCAAATCATGTGAGTTTTAGAAGTTTGGATCAATTATGACAATTGAGCAACAGAAGAATGTGTTACAAACATTGCTGAAGATGTACATAATATTTTTCTTTATGGTATTAATATGCCTTAGCTTCTGCTGATTTCAGTGGCAGCCAGACACCTGAGGATCACACCAATATGTATTAAAAAAAAACCAATACATTTTTGCTAAAACATCATGGAACATATGGAAAACCTACAAGACATTACTTTTATAAAATTTGAGCACTCGAAGAATGGCTAAAACACATGATCCTCCTGCAAAGAAAATACACTAATAAGGTTTTGATGCACACAACATCAGTTCAGCAGTTCCAAACAAATTATTGGGCATGTTTAATGCAACTAGAAGTTACTTTTTTTTTTTTTTTTTTTTTTAAAGCTGAGATGGTCCAAGTTTTTTTTGACAATTTTAAATTTCTTTTATGGAACTGGTTTAGACTTTGATTCTTCCAACTGTTTCTCCAGTCCTATTAGCAAACATTATGATACAAACTATTGTTAGGGTTTGGAAGTCAGTAATTATCTGAAAAAAAGATGGCCAGGCTAAGGTCAAACTAACATTGTATGGGAAATGACTTACCTACTTAGACATATTAGAACAGGACTGGTTTCTACAGCAGTTGAGTTCATGGAGTCAGCTAGTGTGGGAGAATTTTAATCTTGATTGTAATAAACTTAGTGAATAAATAAGAGACCTTGATTTGCTTTTCTTGTACAGTAGTAATTGAAGCCAACATTCTTGAAAGTGCCATCATGAGAGCTATGGAAGGAACCACGAATTCTAAAAACCAGCGATTAGCCTTCCATTTCACTACTCTTGCAGTGTAAGAAACAATGTCTAAAGACTCTACTATGCAATTCATACTCTTAACTGTAGATTTGTGTTGTGTAATTAAGCAGCAAGCAACAGATAGAAGAAACCTTTTAAAAATGTTCATACTCTAATAACAACACTTCTGGACTAATTTTTTCAGAGGTTGAAACGGCTGAATGCAGCCCATATCTGGGCCCATTACTTGCCTCAATGCACTTTGAGTAAAAAATAAAATCAATATATTTCTTATGATTAAAATTCTACATAGGTTTCTGGGTGCTGGTCTACTACTAGGGAAATAACCAAATCACAACATCATTTAAGAATATGCAATCGTAGAATCAGTTGTTTTTTCTGTTTAGTTTCCTTGAAACAGAGCACTACTTGTTTCTTACTTGCACAGGAACATCACAACTGTTCTGCCTTTAATGCTTTCAATAAAAATGTCCACTAGCAGCACATTGGGGTGACTGAGTTTTTCCAAAAGGAACTAAAATTAACTACTAATCACTAGTTTAGACATGTAGTTTTACTGCTTAATCTTTAAAAGCTGGTTTTACTCAATAAATAGTGTAATGACACAGATTTTTTTCAAATCTGAAGAATCCCTATTCTCTGAAGATAAATTAATGCAGGTTTAAGTTGAAATAGAAATTTTAGTTTGCTCCTTGATACATGGGAGCAATTAAGTAAGAAGACTGCAACATTATTAAAAGATGTGGGTTTTGCTCCTTGCCCCTTTTCCACCTTGGGGGTAAAATCATGTGGTAAATAATTTTTAGTTGAATGAACTTGCAAGGAACAAATCAACATGTCTTTCAACTTCTCTTTTTGGCATGAGAGCAGCCTTATAAAGACTCAGTGTGTAATTTCAAAATTGACCAAAATTAAAATATGAAATCTTAGTTTTAAAACCCACAGGACAAGGGGACCAGCAAAACACAAACAAGTGTTGAGAAACATAAGCACACTCGATCTAGTTTGAAATGTTAAGCCATTTAAAATGTCCAAATTTTAGTGAATGTCACTGAATTCTAATTTATATCCAGCAGTGCTTTGACATCATACATTTTAAGAAACTGTTTAATTCGTAATTCTCTCACATAGTAAAATCAAGAATACAAAGCCACGTTCAGCTTCCTGACTACCTAACCATATTTTTCTTAGCAAAACAAAATAGCATAATAGCATTTTTAATATAAAGCCCGCATTTAAAAGATCCTGACATGAAGATTAAATGTTGCCAACAGAACAGAATGAACTTGAGGAAAATTTTTAAAAAATTAAGTCAACTACTGTAATTCAAACAAGACCAAAGCCTTAAAAATGATGGTCTGTTTAGAGTAATTCATTGGGTAAGACTTCCTTTACAGATGAAGTCCCTCCAGAAACTTGAGAAAATGTTGGGCTAAGTTTAAGCTTTGGGTGGGGCAAGAAGAATGCAGTCTGACAATAACTAAAGGAAGTGATTACAGATTTTAGCAGGTCTAGTGCAGTGATGCAATGCTGAAGATAATGTAGGTTTGAGTCTATTTAAATGTGGCCTGTTCAAACAGTATGACTAGGGGAGGTAAAAGCCTCTGCCTGGGACACCTGTCCTGGAGCTCTCCGGAGTCTCTATTTAGAGAAGCTCTGTTCTCAGATGGCATGTGCTGAGTGCAGGTGCCAAGTGTTTTATCTAAGTATTGCTGGTTTATATGTTAAGTAAGTGTGGAAATTACTGGACACAGGAGGGCCTACCATCCATGTACTGAGAGTACACTGAGCATGTGTCTATGTGGACAGAGATACAGAGAATTCTTAGCAGAGCTCAAGAACCTCAGGGAAGTGAAGTGGAAATGCAATTGGGTCACATATGGACAATACTCAACCAGTTCAAGATGCGCTTTTTCTTTCCTTTTCCTCCTCAACTTGGGAAGAGCTGCCTTTTTCCAGTTGGCTCCTCCCCACATCCACAGTTATTTAAAATGAATACTAACTCCTGAAAATCTGTTCTTGGTGTCAATTTAGTTATTTAAGAAATAATTTCTTCATAATGCAGCTCATTCAGAAGTTTGTTGTTACAAATCAGTGTGAAATAAGCTCACAGGACAACTACGATAAACCTTCCAAAATTAACTGTAAAACAACTCATTTATAGTACCTACCCTGCTAGCTCCCATGTCACTTCAAATGTTGCATACCTATATAGGTTAATATCATTCAATTTGCAGCGGTTAACTGTTACAAATTTGATCAGGAACAGTATTTAGAAGTTTCATCTAACTTACCTGTGATGTAGCCTTCTAAAGCTTTTGGCACCAGTGACTTTGCAATTCTTAGGTCCTCAGCTGAACATTTGCCTGCCTCAAGCCCAAAGGACATTCCCATTCTCTTCAGCACCTCACTGTCATCATGGATCTCAAAAGTGTTATCGAAATTAAAGAGGTATTCAAATCTGCATGTAAAAAGTCAAAGTGAGATGGTTTTAAAAAGAACACAGCTTTGCTTTTTTTTTTGCCTATTCTTCCCCCTTTTTTTTTTGGTATGCACTGAGTTAAGTGTCTAGATTGTTCATTATCTGTAAAGAATTTCACCACTGCAGGAAGAAAGTCTGTAATTTTCTACCTCATTAAACAGACTGAAAGGGGAAGAGGGAGGCCTTACTAAACTTGAACCTTCACTTGTATTAAATCCAATACCTCTAAAGGTCACCTGCAGCTCTGTCACCAAAATAACTATTTTGGTTTTGCTTCTTTTACATTTCACTTTCTGTTCTAATGTGCAACGCTCCTCCTGTGAACTGACCTATTTACCTTGGTATAATTTTGCTTTTTTGGATGCATTTGTACGCAGCTAGCAAAGCAGTCTGTTCGGAGTCCTGTATGTTCACAGCCTGCCATTACTGCTGCAGGACTCTCAAAATGTTTTTCATTGCATATAAAAGTGGAAATAGTGATATAAACTTAAGACAGCTTTAAGAAAAGTAGGGGCATCTAGACTGGCCTTATGCTATGATCACAAGCTGTTAAAAGTCTGGACAGCACTGACCCAGGGATTACAATATAAGGCTAGTTTCCAGTGCCTCATTTTCTGATGAGAAAACAAACCTTTATCCCTGGAAAAGTGACTCATCCATGAGATGCAGTCTTTAAAAGCTAACTCACTGCTGGGTCTTGTATTAGCTCTCCAAGCTCATGTCATGTGGATTTTCTTGCTGGTTTTTTTAATAGTCATTTTGTTATACCCATCCAGTAAGTTTGGAAAAGTAATGTCTTGGTACCTATACACAAAATTTTCATCTAGTAATAGGTGTAATTGTCAGTTACAGACATAATTTCTTTTGTGACATGTATGGTATTACTTGTAAAACCTACTGTTTATGCAGCTATATTTATTTAAGTGTAACCACATTAAAAGGGAAAATAAGATGTGTCACTATACCTTTATTTTTTTTCCTGCTACCTAGACTGGTGCAGCTAAAGTCATGTAACTATGTTTACACAAACAGGGGATGGGAGACCAGTGTCACACCAAGTTAGTACCAGCAAGCTTTGTAGTAACTAGGTAATAACTGAATTCAGCTTTTATGGTAGAGGCTTAAAGCTGTGTTTATTGATAGCTGTGTATTTCTCCTCCCATGTGTTGTGGTCAAACACTGTATGTCAGAAAGAAGCATAAGTCCTTTTTTCCCCCACAAGTTTCCAAACAAAAGACCTTACACTAATATTTCTCCAGTATAGTTTCTAGCAACCTGTGGTGTCTGACATAGGAAGGCCCTACACTTCTACCTTTGCTATTAATAGCTATTTGAGGATTTTATTTCAGGGACTTGACATGACTCCTTTTTGAGCTTAAGTGAACTTTTGGCATGAACATCAAATGCTAAGATCTGCTAGACTAACTGTTACTTTTTGTCTAAAACCTGTCACCTGGTATCTTTTCTTAATGTCTCTTAGTTGTAACTTTAATAGCAACTGTGTACAGCTTTTCTCTTTGCACATTCCCCACATCATCCATGATTTTACAGACACCTGTGAATCTACTGTCCCCTCTTTCCTAGGCCAAAGAGTCCATCTGTTCCTCCTGTGAAAGCCTTTTCACTGCTTCATTCATTGTTTCTGCCCTCCTGTGTCTCCTGGTTATGCTATGCTTCTACCAAGAACAAGAGAGCAATAGTATTCCAGATATAAAAGCACTATACACATCTAGTTTTACATTGTATTCCTTACTGTTTTTCCTAGTAATTCCCTGCATTATTTTGGCCATTATTGAGAAATCAAGTTTTGTTCTCATAGAATGATCTACTGGGCTGCCATCTTCTCATTCAGTGCTAAAAGCTAGGTCCAGAGGCGAATACTGTATATTCAAGTGCAGATTTGATCAACAGTGAATTTAATCTGGATTTTCTGCTCTCGTAGGCAATTCTTCCTCTAAGGGTACAAGAGTTTATATGCTACATGTTTTCTCTAATGTATAGCATTGTATCAGTTTAATCTGACAACTTCAAAGTAGTAGTGCTGAAGTTTCAGTATAAAATCTTTTAACTTTTGAACGACTTGTAACCTAGATACAAAGCACAGTTTAATGCAGTAAGAACTGTATAGTATGCCTATAAAATAAGGGTATAGTTAAATCAATATTAATCCTAAAATTCCTAACTTGCTGAACTGCAGTGCTGATGAGAGTATTCCAGAAGTTTTGTCACAGAGTTTATTTGACTTCAGTCCAATTTTCTACAAAAATTCAACTTTCAATAGTATTGTTCTCTGCACATTGGTGCTTAGGTTACTAGAGACCGTCTGTCTTTGCTGTATGTTAATTGACTTGAATTTCAATACAGATTTGTATACCACAGAGTGAAATCTGTAATCTACAGTATTAAAGCAAAGCCAGCCATTTTCAGCTAATAAACTAGCTGTGATCTGATTAACAGTTAACATAACAGTACCTCATATTTTCAGCCATATTTTTACAGGATGAAGAGCAAAAGTACACAGAAGTACGTAAGTGGAAGATTTTCAGATTATTAATATGAGTGCAGCTATAGCCGTTTGCTTAGACAGACAGTATTTCAAATTTATAATTTCCTCCCTTTTTTTCCTTCAAAGAGCTAGATGCAACCTTCTTGCTATTAAAAGACACTATCAAAATTGTCATTATCACCTCTAGGATGTTACTTTTGTGTTACATAGACCACCTTGTGTGTCTGACGAAATACATTTATGGCATATTAGGACTAGGAACTCAGAAGCACTACCACATGGCTTCATTAAAAGCTAGGGCTGTCCTCGTATATAATTTGATTCAGTTATTTCTCCTGTGCAGTGAATGCTCTTTGAAATGTGAGTCTGAAGTGCCTTTTACAACAGTGCAAGCCAGCCTGTTTTAACTAGTGGTTGTAAAGCAATGTTGATAAACGTATTCCTATTACTTCCTGCGGTTGCACTAAGTATTAAAAAAAACCCCACAACACCCGCCCTGAGGTGACAGTAGCAAATTTAAATACATATTTACTTTTAGTAAACTATAAACATGTATCTTATTTGGTCAAAGAAAAATTCCAGTGCACAAAGAAAATAAAATTGTAAAAATTGATTCCATAAACACTCACTTATCAGTTGATATGCTGCAGTCTATGACTGTTCTTTTGCTAGTGTTGACTATTAGGAAAGGCAGCTGTATTGTTGAGTTCAAAGCTGGAGGGCCTTGATTTTGTTGTTCATTTTGCTGATTTCTTTGTACCAAGTTTTTGAATGCTATTTGCTGTAGAAAGAAATAAAAAATTATCACTGACAATAAAAAACATCAATGTTTCCAGTAAGTGGAACTTCATAGGTCTTATTTACCATCTCTCAATACCTCCAGTAATTTTCTGTCAAAAAGTTAAGTTGTGACCTGACTTCCTCTTTGCACTAGTGAGGATCACCAGGAACAGAATTTAAACACAAATTTTCCACACATATCCTAAAGACTATGCCCCCCTTACAATCCCTGGAGAAAAAAACTAGAAAGGCGCAATAAGGCTTGGTAGAGAATGCTTCCCCTTCCTTTTGAAAAGGCACTGGAGTCAGAGGTGTTCTCTGTTATTTTACCTTAATTACCTCAGATTAGGAGCTAGTTACACTGAAACAAAAGTTAACAGAGTTTACAGCATTCCTCCACTTCCCATGATCTATAGTCTCTTCCCCTTCTCATCCATCACTCTTTTTTCCCTCTTAAGAGTGAGTTTTGAAATTTTCCTCTGAAAGTTCTTAAACAGGTGCCATTCATGACACTACTCACTCTCTGCTGAATTATTATATCTGACTGCCTATGTGTGAAAATGTGTGGTTTTAGGAAATGTTATTTGAGGGATCAGAAGTCAGCGTACTTACCCACTTTGAGGCAGTACTTATTCCACTTAAGGGGAAGATGGATAGACAGAATCCCAAAGGACTGGTAAACCGTTTGACAATGAACCACAATCAAGGAAATAATGACAGCTGTAGATACTAAGGGAGTGCAACTCTTGTCATTTTCAGACTAACAGTTAAGCCTAAGTTGCCTTATTTTCACCAGGATAATTTCATGTTACTCTTGGAGAAACTGCTAATTTATTAAGTCAGACAGATAGAACCAGAATCGTGCCCTAAGTAGAGAAACAGTTTTTGGTGATGAAAAAAGGAGAAGCATCAGGTATTTAAAAGGTTCAGCGCATATCTAATCACATCAAAATTATATCAATACAGTTGTACCAGGAAAAAAATATAGCCTTAGTGCCTGTAACCTCATAAAAAAAGATGATTGCCTTTAAATTACTGAAAGTCTGCACAGACCAAAAACACTTAAGAATGCTCATAACTGTATTTAGGAAATGTTACTTTATAAGCAAAGGTGTATTTGAAATGTATATCTGCAATCAAAGCCAAAACTCAAGTCATCCCAAAGGTGCATGTCAGAATGTAAAAGAGCTGGATTCACCAGCCTGCCACTCTTAGGACCCAGAAATGTCTGTCTCCCCCACAATAACTCTATGCATTTACACAAGTTCAGTTGTAAATTTCATAGCTTAGAATCAAAGATAAATTTTACAATAAGAACTACTTGGAGAAGGTAACTCTTGGGAGACCTGGAGTCAACAAAGGGGACTCATGCGTTGTTCCCATTCCCACTAACGCTGACAAAGCTTCCACAGAACACTTGCAAAAGCTTGTGGCACGCAGATGCAGCGTGCTGTTCTACAATAGGTAAAAATGAACCAGAAAGTGAGGGTAAGAAGTCCCTAACTAGAATCCAGAAAGGTCACAAGCATGAAACTTTTCCCCCTAGTATATCATAGCTGCTAAATAAATCTAGAAAGAACTTCAGAAGTCCTAACATGTCAGATTTGCACTTGATAATTTCATTTATAGAAAAAAACAATTAAATATACCTGCAGCAGCAGTTCTTGTAGTTGAGCTCGCTTCTGTTTTATCCTTTCAATCCGCTTCTGTTTTTCTATCTTAAAATATAAATGTATCAAGATATTTACTTGGTTATCTTGTCTGTTCCATTGTACCAAACTGTAGCTTCAGAGCTACATCAGTGTGCTAGCACCATTGCAAAAATCCATACCTTCTTTGTAAATGGTGGTGAATTCCATGGCATGGTAAGTAAATTGCAAAAGTCTTTTCAGCCCTACCCATTTGCCATGTATTTTCTTATTTTTCAAATAGACTAATCACATAGTCACGAGTTTCTCCATGTTCTGACAAACTAATTTCTTTCTTTGTCAACAATTTTAACTCCAGTAAAGAATCCATTATTATAAGAGACTGTATTACAAGACACCCATTCCTCCTCTTTTTTTTATTGTGCACTGAGTGCTGATTAGCATCAAATTAAACACTTGCTTGAAGGGATTCTTTGGGTTTTCTCTTCTTCCTGCCCTCCAGCTACAAGCAACTGGACATAAATGTGTGGAGACTGGGCTCAGGATCATCACCTGCATCTTTCCAGTGACCGCCACTTGTTGTTTGGACTACGCTTTTGGGACTTGATTAAACTAACAAGATTTCAGCAACAAAAAGGAGGTAGAGGTGACATTTTCTACATGAGCACAGAATCCATTTCTTGCAACAGTTCTGTCAATGCCAGCTTATGGGGTGAAGCTATCTTCAACCTAAGCATGCAGTGTGTGGGGCAGCAATAGTACTGGATGCCTACTGACACTGCAGATAAAACCAACGCTACTTTAAGTAGTGCTCTGGGGCAACACTGAAGAATTGGACAGTAGTCATCATGTCTGAAAGGTATTTTTCTCATCATCCTGTTGGTGCCAGCACTGTATTGCTGCTCCCCAAAATATTAAACCCTTATATTACCTTTTCATTCAACCACTAAAACTAAATGATGCAGTCTTGTAAAACTTAGCTGGCCTAAACCCCCCTATTTTATTAACAATGTTGGTTTGTGGTGGTTCCCCCTTGCGCATTTTAATGTTTAAAATGCTTCATTCAGAGCACAGTAGATGACTCTGAAAACCAATAAACAGTACAGATATAATTTAGACATGGTTTCTATATAACAAGCTTTTTGTACTGATTTCTCATTTTTGTACTGATAATCTTATCATGGAATTATACTGTAAGAAGAGTTGGCACTTTATACGACTAATTCTAATTTTCACACCATGAAAATGCAGCTTTATTTTCTATTATTTTCTAGTATGTTAACTTGGCTTCCGTCTTGTGCAAATATAAATAGATCCTGAAACAGTGAATAGCATATGACTATTGTAGATGACACAATGAAATTCAAGTTCCATAATCTGTAAAAATGACCTATACTGAAGATAATGCATTCACATGAAAGTGTGTAAAATGTAGATTTATCCATTTTTTTAAAAAAAAGAATCCTGGAGTATAATGATTGAGCATATGTATACTCTATGCGTGGATGTATCTTCTAAGTTGCTGCCGTGGATAAGGATATTAAAAGCTTTTTTGTCACCAAATCTAGAAAGATAATTGATGTAAATGAACCTGCACAAAAAAATTGTTCCATACTGGACAGGCATCCCACCCACCTTTTAAGATATTTTATGTCACAAGTATCACAGATGTAACACATACTGAGATGTATTTGCAGACAGTCATTACAGCACTCTGCAGTGAATACCGTAACTTGTGCTTTTTATTTATAGAACATTTGGCCTGAAGGACAAGCAGCGTTTGTGCATATAAATTCTGGCATCCCTGCAAAAACATGGTAACTCTTAGCCTGCTGGAAAAATAATGGAAATAACCAATAAGTACAACTTCATTTTTTTCCTTGATAGTTCATAACTAGTATTTGACATCCTAGCAGGAATTGTTTTTCAATTTAATTTTCTTTGAATGGCATTTCCAAGTAGAGACATTAATAGAAAATTGGTCTCCTTTTAAATGTATACCATTGTGTAAGCATAACTGCACCATAAATTCTTTGACTTCTGGATAATTCAGGCTACTACAGACTTTAATCTTAACAGTAATCCCTGATTTAATCAATGTCCATTTTTGTAAGGGAAGCAGGGTTTTTTTAAACTTCATGTAATGTTTACTAAATAAAACTGAACTAGGCATACATAAACATGTCCTTTACAACTTTTGATATTTGCATAAACTGATTTTCATAGTGTGCAAGAATCAAAACCAATCAGGTTCAAGTTGAGAAAAAAACCCTCTTCTAAAGAGCAGCTCCATTGTCACAACCTGTGAACTATACAGAATTTTCCATCTACCTCACTTTACCTCTAGATTCTGACATTCCTGAGCTGAGTTTGTAGGGAGGCCAATCCATCTGATTTCCTTCTTCTCCTTTGAAATTATGTTCATTGCCATCAAGACATTAAGGGCATCATAAACTCTCCGTCTAATATTTTTCTGATCGTAAGCCTGCTAAGAAGACAATACAGCATTAATTACAACAGAAGAATTTAAAAAGGATAAAAAAGATTGAACACAGCCTTCATAGGTATGTAGAAGAGAAAAAGCCAAAATAACAGTTCAAGTCAGAGTGGTATTAAAACACGATGCCTTCATCTGTGCTACTGCTTGGATATCACGTGAGCAGGTTTGGTGGCAAATGGAAGCACCAGGCCTGCTTGAAGCCTCTGTGCAGCAAATTCCCATCACGGCAAGTCTGCTGCAGTTGAAAAGCCTGACCAGACCACATATGGTGGGTACAAGAGTGGCCTTTTTTTAAAGATAGTTCTGTTGGCAGACTTCCCTATTTTGTTTATAATTCAGAGGAAGTTCAAGTCTTAATTTTAATTCTATATTCTGAAATTTCAGACGGTAAGTCTTTGTATTTGGTAAGCAGTTAAGTAAGTGAAGGAAAACAGGGAGTGTGGCAGGACAGTGCAGAAACAGAAGGGACAGAATTCCATGACACACTAGACAATTTTGTAGTGGTATAAAAAATTTCAACACATATTTGCTTACCGAGTCTGTAGCTAGGTGGCTGTTAGAATTTGTGAATTCTGATACCAGCTCATCAGCGACTTCGTTGTATGAAGTTGTTCCTTTACGTTGAACTTTTTCACATACTTTCATTGAAAAATGCCTCAGACCCTTCCCATTTTTATCTCCTTTTTTGCTTCTCTTACTGGAATGAGAAGAGTAATTATTTTAACACATGGAATGTTAATAAGCTAATGTGATACACAGAAAAAGGTCAACCTTTTGCAACAGGAATCAGGACTCATGACATTATAAATGTCATGAAAATTAAACTGTTCTGCTTTTTGGATCAGTTTCTTGTTTCTTACAAGTTGGCAAAAAAAGTACACTGGAGCCCTTTCCCCTTTCTTGGTGATTTCTACATCGATACTATATTTGAACACATTACTGGGCAGATGCTATAAAAACTGGATTTGTAGTTCCTCTCCAGGTAGTTTCACAAAAGAGCAACCAAAAAAAGGGAGAAAACCTCACAGGGTGTTCATGTGCCTGGAAGCCAGATTTACAGGGAACTCCCATGTTTGTGCTTAAAATAGCAAGGCTCAGACATCCCTGTTTACTACAGCAGAAGATACCGTAATTCTCCTAATGACCACGTTTAACATTTGTGCCTCCATAGTTAAGACTGAGATACAAGAATCTCCTTTGTAGAGGGTAAGTACATAGTCATGGGTTTTTATGGTGCCAAATTAATAACTGGCAACTGTAAGAGTTATTTGCCATTCATTTTCTCCCTCCAGAAAAGCATGAGCTTAGATAACAGTACTGGAAAAAACAGGAGCAATTGGTTTTATCACACAAGCTGGATTTGGATGCATATTTCAACAGAAGTAGTTAAAAAGCTCAGCTGTGTGTTTTTGGTTTTTAATTACAGTTTTACCAGTTGGTTTGATAACATGTTTCAAGGAGGTCTATTATTTTACAGAGAAAGGCCTAGTTCTGTTAACGGTAACAACCTAAGGAAAATATTAAAATGCAAGAATGCTTTTTAAAGTTTTGAATGTATTTAAGAAAACAGAACACTGGAAAGAAGGACAGAAGAAAAGGCAAGAGTGGAAAGAAACACCGTAACATTTAAGAAAACCCCAACAATCCTAGTCCCTATGCAGTTATTTGAGTAACCCCTGATAAATAAGCAAATAAAACCACCCTGAATGCATTCAAAGAAGTTTTGGAAGCAAAGAAAAAGCTCATCTGTTTACAAGTATTTGTCACATTGAAAACTACAATAATCCTATTTCTGAAGATGTGCTGTGTTTGTTTTTCACAACTCCCAGTATCATCTGTAACAGCAAATGTATTTATCAGGAAGAGAAATTAATTGTAACTACAAGGGGTAACATACAACATAGCTTTTACGTGTGTGAGTGAAAACTGATGAAAGTGGGAACTGGACACCCATCTCTCTGAAGGGCAGATCTGAAGATGTAAAGCAGGTATGACCATATACACAGAATGTATCTTCAGTAATACTCACCCTTCTGAAAAATCCGCTTCTATAAATTCTCGAGTCCGCTTTCTGTCCCTATGAAAAGACAATGCAAAATTAGATTAAAATAATGTTATCTATTTAGACCAACAAATTCAGCGTATTTCGTGCCCAGCTGGGTACTAATGTTTGCTGTTACGTGTTTACTGAAAGGGGAAAATAGCATACATGCACAACTTGACAGCATTTGAGACACAGTGCTTAGGACTTAAGAGGTTGTCTAAGCTCATTGCCAGGCAAGTTCTATTCACAATTTTGCCATGCTTTGCCCATATGATTGTAGGGAAGTCACTTCGTCTGGAACTATAGGAAGTGCTGATGGGAGCTAGATAACCAAATGTCATCAAAAAGGAGAAGCCGGGCTCCTCTAAAAATTCCTATTTAAAATTTCCCCATGTGTAAGTAAAATGCCTTTAAACAGTGCAACACAAGATTTATCTTATATTTTCAGGACATCGAATGTTTTTGTGTCAAACATTAAACACATTCATATTAGAGCTGATGCATACAGAGCTGATGAGAGATACTCTGAAGAAGTAGACATGAATTTTACACAGGAGTAGCAGTCACCAATCATTGCCAACTTTCTTACAGTTTTGTTTATTACCTACAGCAAGCAGGCTTCAGAAGCTGTATTCCAAACTTGTCTTTTATTCTTCCAGCTGATAGAACGCACGGTGCTGGAGAACTATCAGTAAAGTATTTCGTGTTGTTACCCTGCAGTTTCAAAACCAGGGCTCACAGCAGATACTCACGCAGATAAAATCCTGACAGTGTTGCAAAGGGAGCTGAACAAGAGTGATGGATTTGAAGACTTGTGCCATGAGAGCCTGCATATATTTGTTTGTGCCATCCGGAACCCATCAGTAGATGTCTTCCTCGGCAGTGACAGCCGGACGTCTGTCTTTGGCAATCCCTGTCCATGGTGCTTAACTGCTCCTGCTGTGTGACTCAGGGGCTGGCTGCAGCAGAGCCATGGCAGGGGCTGGAACAGCAGTGACCCAAGAGCTGTCCCCTGGTCTGTAAGCCATGCTGACGGAGGCTGTATGGAGCCCTGAGAATGAATATGCTCTTGTCTCATTTGATTTGGGAAACAATTTGGAACCTCTGAAGAGGAGTAAACAACAGGGAAAGCAAGGAGTCTGGACTTAGAATCCTCTGGAACAGTCTTCAGCAAGGGCTCACCACTTAGGCTCAGCAACGCCACAGACCCTTCCCTACCTTTGTTCTTCAGTTGAAAATATGGACTATCGTAGGGACTTCTACAGGGTTGAATATCGATTATCCAGTCTGGAGAATATCTTGCTCCTTTCTTTCAGCAAAACAATAGTTATGCTCATTGGAAATACTGTGCCTAGACATTGACAGTATACAAACAGAAGGATGGTGCTTCTCCTTCTGAATGTTGGTGGTGGTGATTAATGCACTGCAACTGGGTTTCTCTCTGGGAATCTGCATCACCTGGGTTTGGAGGAAGCTTAAGAAAGCTAGAGGGCATTGATTCTCTGGTTTAGCAAGCTGTGAACAGACACTACAGTGTTTCCCTCCTCTAGGTACTGAAAGAGCTTCTGCCTGGCCTCCACATTTCACAAAATTTGCAGAAACAAAGTAATCTTTGACAGCTCCTTTTTCAAATAAAATCAGAACTAAGTGGATTCAAAGGGTATTTGAGGAGAGATAAATACATAATCAGCAGAAAAGTCCAGCTTAAAAACTGCTCAGCTGGGCATGCAGTGTATTGACTGTATGGTGATAATATTGCAACTGGGAAGTACAAGCCTATAACAGTCCTTGCTTACAGCATAGAATGAAGGAAGTCAAGGTACAACCATTACACTCTCATTTCTGCCATGTCCTAGACACTCCATGTTCCCACCTCTAAAGCTGGAAAGGTACAACTGACATCCATCACCTGTTTAGAAAAATTAACCCAGATACAGAAATAAATTACTTTTTAATTTTCAGAGGCAAAGCACTACATCTGTCTCGAGACAGGTAAGCTCAGCAGGTTATGTTACTCTGGAGTACCTCAGAACCCCATGAAAACTTGTTGCTGCTGTAAAACATTAATAAAAATACCAGATTGATTACATTCACAATTTTCCATTAGCGTTTTATTCTTAAATGCCTCTTGAAGTGTTTTTGACAGTCTCTGCCCCTTTTGGCACCTGCTGGTATGAACTTACGAAAAAAAATAAAGGCTTCTTTGAACAGGACTCATGAATTTGTGACTCTCCATTTTCACAAAGAAACAGACGCTGCCATAACACAAAATTAAAACAGACAGTGAAGTGACCAAGTCCTTTTGCTTCCACGTTCACATGCTCCAGCCATCAAAAGTGAGTAACAGGCTAAAGAGCTTACGCCTTTTAGTTGTGCAAGAACTAGAAGCTGTCATCCAGCATATAGATAAAACAGTATAGATAAAGGAAAAAAATCACAACAGATCCTCAAACATCTTTAAATAAAACAAAAATCTTACCCTGGGACCCAACCAGATGCTTCTGTTATGTGTGTCTCTGTGACCATTGTTGGAGCTGGGTTATATGGACTCCCAATCAGAACGCTCCCTGAATTAGTCAGTCTTTGTGATGTGCTTATGATCTATGAAATTAAGAAGTAAAAAACACAGCTCTCTCTAAGAAAACAGAGGTTATCACAGCCTAAAATTCATACTAAGCATAGTACTAAGAAAAAAATAATAATTCCATACGAGATGCAAGCTGCAGTCAAAATACACAGAAGAGGTGTCATCAGAAGATCTTCATATGTGAAAGTAATTACAATGCCATTAAGTTTTCTACTAATTGTACCATATTACTGTATTCATATGGACACGATCTAGACAAACAGAAATAATTAGTAGGTATGGCAGATAGGATCTGTATCTATATACATCGAATTGTTTCTTTGAGAGTACATCTAGGCAATTTCTTGATCACTGTAATCAATAAAGCCTCCTTTCCAATGGATTTGTCTCTTGCAATTGTCTGTCTTTGGTACCAGAGACAATCTGAGCTGCATGCAAAGTATTCCCTGCATTCACAAGATCTCAAGGCATTCCAGAAAGCTAATAATACAACATTGCACCTATGGAATTGAATGTAAAGTCTACACACTACAGACAGAATTTACATTTACTCAAACCTGGTGAAATGGTATGTACAATGGGTGTCAACACTAAGCCACTTGATCTCAACTTCTAAATTGCATCTAAGTTCATTCTTCAAAGTAGATCACCAGAAGAATGTAAATAGTATTTAAAAAATGAAACACTATTAATTAGTTAATTTTTAAAAATAAAATACATGTTAAATTATTTTGATTCCAGTATGGTAAGATTCATACTCATTCAAGCTTTTTGGACAATGCTTTTTACTCATGTACCTTATTTTGCCTTTTTTAACTTTAATCCATTTGTTAGTGATATTTTGAGTACCTACTGTATTCAGCTTTGTGACTTCCTTTACTACTTAACTTACCCAACACGTATGTAAGTATATGGCAGATACTTCATTTGGTATCCATCAATATTGTTTAAACAAGTAGAAAAAATGGTATTTGAAGAACTTCCCATTTCCTTAGCTCACTGAGCATTACTTCACATCCCTCCTGACACCACACCATGATTGCATGTATGTATTTTTCATCTTAAAGACATAAATTTATCTTATTTATTTTTGCAAGTGTATAGCTTGACAGAAACAAGTAAAACCAGGAATTTAGGAAAACCAAACCACAGGTGCAAGTTATCAACTGGTTGATACGAGAGAACACGAGATCCCTGGCCAGCTGCTTTACACACTGCACACAGGCACAGGAAAGGTATTGACTTTTATCCACTTACTGCTACATTGGCTTAAAGTCAGAAACATTTTGTGATAGAATGATTAATTTTTAAAAGCTTGCTTAAGTTCAGCACTGGTGTAACACCAGTATGTAAGTGAGAATCCGTAGTGCAGTATTTCAATTAAACATCAATCCAATCCAGTAACTTTGTCTATCAGTTTCTTGCAACGCTATAAATAAAGTTTATTTGCTGTAAGCATATGGCAGACACATGCCAGGGAGAAATTATTTTAAATATTTTGCATACTGAAATGCTTTCACCACCTTCCACCCTCCCTGAGGTTTCACACTGCTCTGCTGAGGTCTTGTAAATCACAGATCAGATGTGTCATACAGGAATATTTTGTGCCCAATCTCCTAATTTTCTTGTGACAACCACTATAATAAACTGAGGTGGCAAAACCATCTTTGGGTGTTTCCAAGAGCTGTCCCGTACTTTTCTATCCCCTGGTGCCACCTCGTGGAGGCAGACACCAGCAGCATGCTCTCCCCAGAACCCCTGCCCACAGCAGGCAGGCAGGCAGCTCGGGTAGTGCCCTGTCTGATGGGCGCTTACAGGTGGGAGTTGCACAAGCACAAACTCCACCTGTCTACGGCTTATTGATAAAGCTGCAAGTTCTTGGATGCAGGGACACAGCTGTCACGTGTACGCAAACCAGTGCTATTTCAGTGTCACTTTTAAATTTACTATTGAATGTTTGCTTTCACAAAAAATGTTACACAAATTATTTTAAAAGGACTAATTCCATCTTAACAGAGAACATTTTTCCAGCATGCCTGAAGTAGTCACGTAAATTCACTGCATAGCATAAAACACAAAACTTCACCCTAATTTAGCAAACAGAGCATCTGTAGGATGTGTTAAATCCCTGTAATTAAGCACTAACATTTTATCAGTAATCCTTCTGCTGTTAAATTTACACCTACAGACTGAATCTAAAGAAACTGTAACAGTCACCTGTACAGAAGACTCCAGCCCACAAATTGTGCCGGTTTGATTGTTTGCACAGCCGTACCCGCGGGGCTTCAGACCAATAGCCCACTCTGGTGATCCTGGGGGGTGTGTACTGGTTTTTTTTTCAGCCACAAGGGCTGTACCCTACAGTGGTTAAATAAAGCCAAAAACCCCTCCTGGCAGCAGGATGTTGCTAACCCAGGTGAGATGCCAAAGGAGTGCGAACATTCCCACTAGTAAGAACTTGTGAGCATTCTTCTTTAAATGGCCTGGGACACAACACAGCCAGATGTTTTAGGAGGCCTGTGTTAATAGCCAATAAGAAAATGTTTTCTGAATATAGATCTATCCTGGTAATGAAAAAAAATTAAAAAAATTAAAAGTAAAATAATAAAAAAATTAAAGAAAATAAAATGTGTGTCTCACACCACGCAGTAGCTTTTGCAACTTCTACCTGCTATAGAACCTAAACTGTAACTAGGGTTAATTTAAACCAAAAGCAGGATCTTTAGAAGTCACTTGTAAGAGCAAGAACTGCATTAACTGACTGCTCTCTCCTGTTCTTGGCTATTATATATTGCACCCGCAAAACACATCTTTTGCTCTTCCAGTGAAATGCTACTACAGGGCACATGGTCTAGCAATACTTGTGTCAGTACTGATGCACTGAGGAACACTGTTCTCTGGTAGCCTCTCTAGTCCTGTGGCTTGCTGCCAATGGACAGCTCTGCACAGTGGAATGCAGCCCGGGGGGGCCTGGATGTAACACTTGTGCCCCTCTCTCCAACCGGAATAAAAGCCATTGCAGAACAGTAATAACTGCTGATGTGAAAAAGACCCAACACAATCATAAAACACATCAAATGGTTCTTGTACTTGGGCTAAGTGCTTGGCAAGTAGGCATCAGGTTACTACAAACAGTTCACTGTATTGCCTATTTAGTTCTTTGGCCACCAGAAAACTGAAAATTTGTCTCACAACCAGATCCAAAATCCCTGAAACAGCAATATGCTCTGATATAAAGTTATCATCAACAGTAAAAGACAGTTTTAAGAGTAGTTTCAACAAGTTAAATTTCCAGCAACACATCCAAGACATTTAGTCTTTGGCAATGCTGGAGGTTTACCGGTAAGAACACGACTCAAAATACTCAGAGAGTATCAACAGCATTCTTAGTTATTTTTTTAATACACTTTTGAGCAATAGTTAAAATGTCAGCTGGTAAAGTTGTTTCAATTTCCATTCAAAGCCAGGAAGATAGATCCCCTAAGGTCACACACAAGATCACCGTTGGGAGTGGCAATTCGGGCGGGCCAAGCCTGCTGTACCCACATACCATCACCTTTCCATCCAGGTGGGGCACTTTAGCAGCTTTTGCAGAGTTGAGGCAGGAAGCTGCAAGTTCCTAGCACTGTTCACATCTTTGTTTTTCATGTTTGCATATTACATCAACAGGAAATCACGCAGCTAGTCACAAAAGTTAGCATTACCTGACTTGCAAAACTTACCATTTGAGGTCCAACGTTCACATTGATTGGTCCTAAGGTTTTTGGCAAAATCTTAGCTGGGGTGTTGGTGCTGGAAACTGGCAATGTGATTATTGAAATATTACCTAAAAAGGGCAGGAAAAAGACAGTCTTAAGTTACTTCCTTAGTAACCTACGAATAACATTTTGGCAAATTCTCACATCATTTTAATGCTTTGGAATCAGTATAGCTTTTTTGTCTCGTACGCTGCAAACACACCCTCACATAACAGCCTCCAGACATTTTAGCAGATGTCACAAGAACACCTCACAAAACTACTTCTTCACTCTCGTACCTTTAAAATTATGTGTTAGTATTTCAGTTCCAGAAACAATTTATTCTTGCCTAAGCCAAAGAGCACACAGCCTGCCATAAATCACCATCAACAGTTAAAATTAAGGAGTATATTTCTAGAAAGAAGAAAGCATACAAATCCTATTTATAATCATAGACACACATACATGTATATGTATCCATATATCTTCATAGCCTTAACCATTCCTCATCTGGCTACACTAAAGTATTCTACAAACATCAGTGAAGTAAGCCTGTCACTGTACAGATGGAGTAAGTGATGCCTTTGCAACTTACCTAAAGTAACAGAGCAGGCAGCTGGACATCAAGAGCATTGCTGTTAACACTTGCTGTGTAAGTAAGCAGGAAAATGCTAATTGCGTAACAGTAGCCTCATTTGTCAAAAACAGGCCTGTTGCAACCAGAAGACAGATATGCCTACCGCAACCACAGGGGTAAAAGGATGTGCAGTAAAAGGATGTGGAGGCCCGCAGAGGCCCGTGACAGGCTTTGTTGGGAGACACATAATCAGGATTACCCACGTCTACCCTTTTTTTTTTTTACTTCCCTCTCAAGGTCCTGGCCAGACTTGAGACGAAAGTTGACAAGAGGAAAACCACACCAGATGTTTTTGCAGTTTGATATGTAAACTTCTTTATTCAACTGTATAAAACTGAGGAACGTTTGCAGGGAAATTTGTAAGCCTCATCTATACAGTGGACGCACTGCATAGAGATTTCCCAACTGCTGCTTTACCTAATCTTGCTTTATTTTCACTGTATTATTTTCCTAGTTATTTTATCACTTTAAACATAAGTAAAAATAATTTTACTTCTTTAATTTGGTGCCTGTGTCCTTTGTGCTAGCCCCGTCAATTAGCAAAACATGATAGTTGTTGGTTCAGTCAGTTACAACAAAAAGTTAATGCATTTCCAAACAGATCACATCAGCACCCCAACCTGATGAGACACATCTTGCAGTCAGTATCGCCAGCATCACTACTCTTCTCTAAACAAAGAGAAATCCAACTTCCAAGAGCATCTTGTCCTGCCCACAGCCCTTATGCAGCGGCAGGCCCGGCACAGCTGCCACTGAAAGACCTGGAGCTGGCCAAAGCCAGTCCCAGTGCAAGAAAAAAACATCACCACAAACTGGAAACCACCGACACGAGTACAACCAGTTCTGAGAGCAAGCGCTTGCTAAGGTGACTAGTGGTATTTTACACCGAATTTTCAAGGTTAGTACAGCTGTTTGCTGTAGAGCTGGTAACTTCTGAAGTTTTGAAGGCAAGGCAGTATTACAAAATAGCAAGCATCAACAGGAACAATCTCTGCCAGTCTTATTTATGAAACAGGATAGAAAAAGTAAAAGGAGGAAGTAGATGTCACACTGTTTGTAGATCAGCTAACAAATATTCAGCAGACTTCTAAAAATATTCAGAAGATTTCTGTATTCAACTTAATGCAGAAATATCACCAAACTAATTACATATACTTTATCACATAGCAATTGTAAAGGCTTTGAACATGATGAAATTAAAAATAAATGCAAAGTCTTAATAACACATATCACTTGGGGACAAAAAAAGATTACACTGATTTATGTTCCACTGAAAAACAGCAGTGAATACAGTGATAAGCTGAACACAATGAGACCCATCAGCCTCCTAGTCACGGTAATCTTACTGCACGGATGAAAAAGGTCAGCAGAGATGGATCAAACTAGAATGATTTGTATAATAATACTCAATTCTTATATAATGTTTCTCAGCAGTACTTTTGAAGCACAAAGGAAGTCAGTGTCATTATTCTCATTTTATCTAGGGAAAACCAAGCACATGGGAAAGAAACCCACTTAACTCTCATAGAGGCTTTAACTGCAATCTATGTAAAACCACCACAAACTGACCATGCTCATCACTGATGCAAATTCAGCATAAATATCAGTGGACATAGGTATGTTTCTCTTAGAACAGAAGCACTTTGCTTCTACATTTTTCCATCCCTCAGTTACCAGTATTGTTGTTTCTCATGGAGAAAAACCAGTGTTGCTATTCTTTCATATTTAGAAGAACACAATCACTACATAGCTAGTATTCTTCCTGGGATTTGTGAAATATTTTTACTTGCATACACAAAGAAAAAATCAATTTAAATGATCTTCAACTTCAAGCAGTCATAGAACCAAGTTATTCATGTTCATGTATGCTCGCATGCACACACTAACCATCCCACAAGACTAACTTTAAATCATTGTGTGCCACCCTGAACAGCTTAACATGGACTCCTACACAAATATGACGCTGAAGAGCTTTGAGTGATTTTTTTCCCCCCGTATAACTAAATCTGTTAGGTCTGCAACTTAGTTGCAAAGAAAATTAGTAACAATGTCAATCAGAGAATCTATAGAATCTGCCACAGCCAGTTTGAAGGAAACCATAGCTGATGGGAAGCATAGACCAACCAGCTGGGGTCACATACAATGCGTACGTCAACAAAAAAAGTCTTTGAATTTTTAGACAAAACACCAGGGAAGTGCTGGCAACTTGGATTTCATATTCAGAGCTCTGAAACAAACGTCCACATTTTTAAAGTGTATCAATCAAGAGCCATTTTAAATGATACAGCCTATGGCTTGACAGTAATGGATGGTAAAAAACCCGGAGAACTATTGGAAGTCTGTTAGGATATTTTTGCAATAACGTTATGTGATGCTTCCTCAGGCTCCTCTACTACACTAAAACATAAATTGATCTCCAAGATCAGGACACCACCATATTATAACAGCATATAGAAAAACTGAATTATTAACATGCTATTAATATGCATATATTTTCTTGATACATTTCTTAATTTGTTTATTGCACAAACTTCCTAGGCTATTCCATAGTCTGCAGAAGCATCTACAAATATATGAAATCAAAGAGATCTGTAGAAAAGAAAAAACAAAATGGGGCAGATACTATTTCAGTGTACTTCAGGGGAACACTGACCAGTACATTTTCAGTGTTTTACTGTTCTATTTGAGACAAACTGATAGGTTAGGAGTTGTATGACTCTCAAAGTACCAAGTGTAGGTCTATTGATAATTAATTTTGTTGTCTTGGTCATTTTAGCAGCTCTCAAGCACACAACGAACTCCCAGCACTCTCCAGTACTTGAGCTGGAACCACCTAAGGCTCTGGTCAGATACTCAGCAAACTGCCACTAAAAATCATTTATGCAGACCTCATCACCGATGCTCGTTCCTGCCAACAAGCCAGCACAGCTACAGCTATGACTATGCAGTGAACTTGCCTTCTTTTCCTTTGGCAAGGGAGGGAGAACAATGGGCATTTTTTTGGCTGAATCTGTTCCCGGGTCCAGTGAACTGCTCAGCCACCTACACAGCTGTGCTGGTGTTATGCAAAGGACAATGTTTAAAAGCAGCTGGGAGGTGACCAGGGCCAGCTTAATGGGCACTGTTGCCAGAGGAGATGTCTACTAAAGCAAGCAAAAGACTGTATCACGAGGGTGGGCAGAAAATAGAAAATGTGTTAATTTGAGAGAAAGAGAGCGAGAGAGAGAGAGAGAAAGAGAAAGAGAGAAAGAAAGAGAGAAAGAGAGAGAGAGAGAAAGAAAGAGAAAAAGAGAGAGAAAAAGAGAGAGAAACACCTGCCTTACTGCTTCCATAACAGTAGCATAGGCATATGGCAGCCTTTTGCATTGAGAAGTTTCTAAAACACCACCCCTATCAGGACTTAGTAAAAATTAGGTACTGCATGAAAAAAAAAAAAAGACGTATAATAATGAAGTTCTTTTTGAAGTTGTACTAAAATTTATGATTCCCACCCAAAGCAATCTGGATTGCAATTTGATCTGTTTAAGGGATCCTCCTTCATGGAGCCTGGTACAAGACTGGTGGTCTAGGGCTGGACTCCTTTTTCCCTCCACATCAATAAACAGAGAACACCATGTAAATTCACAGAATTTAAGCATATAGTAACCAAAAAGTTACCAAAACCATTGTGTTGAGTCTACATTATACCTTTTAAGATGAGAATTAAGTATGTCACTCATAGTCAACCAGTTGAAAACTGTTGCTTCTTTCCTCCACACCCTGTTAACTAATAACTGTCACCTCACTGTTCATAGACAAAAGTGGATCAGTACCCAGTGTCTTCACTCAGATACAGACACACTGCATCAGCCGATAGATTTTGTTTACGAAGCAAACAGAACAGTTAACCTGTGAAGTAAACCAATTTTTTTATGTCCAAGAGAATTTCTCATGAAAGATAAAAAAATATGGTTTCAGTAAGTTCTACAATTTTTTTTTACAGTCACTTAAAAATTTAGGGTTCTTTAAATTTTCAGGTCATTATCTACTGAAAATTAAGCTTGTGCTCCAGGTGACTGCTCTGTGTTTTTAATTGATCAGATTTAATTTTGGGAATATCCCTTATTTGCAGGTCATGTACGTCAACTACTTTTAAAATAAACTAAAAGCATGCCAAAACAAGACCTTGGAAACTGCATAATTAAATATGCAACCTATCAAATACAAGCTAATCCTTACTGGACTTTTTTTCATTTATATCAGATGTATTTCCTCTTCGTTCCTACCAGCATCTACGAGTTTTGAATGAAGCAACCTTGTTATGGGAGACATCTCGGTTTTTTTGGGAACAAATTCTCATTGGGAGTTTTCTGGCTCAAAATCTGGTAAGAATTTTCTTCCCCTAAATGAAGCCTTCCTGATAATTTCTACTGGCCTTGCTGTTTTTTTTTCCTTTTTTTTTGTAACTGTAGT